AACACTTAAGACAAGAACAGTTCTTGTTCAAGGACAGCATACATCAAAGACAAAGCATCAGGTTTACAGGCTGCGTATATACAATTTTCGTGAAGTTTTGAGTTTCAAGGATAGTCCATGCAAAGATCTAAGGACGACGTTTTCCGGCGGAGTTTGAAAAAGATCAACATATATTTTATTTAGTGATGATTGAATTATTTAAACAACGACATAATCGATCTCATATATATTGGTAATGACATTCAATTTGCTTTCAATATTTGACAAATATATCCCAAAGTAAAAAAACGCTAATATTCCACTGCCTAATTTAATCCTTGTGTAAACCGTGCTTGGCTTTCTATTTGCCTTAACTTTGTCTTACACATTCGACTAACCCTATTCCAATGACGTGGCCTTACAAACATTATGTAAGCAACGACATACTCGATTCTATATACCTATATATTCGTCATTCGTCAACATTTCTTCGATATAGACTAACGTAAATATGTCCAATCGTCGCGCGCTATATCACTAATTAATATATTTTTCAAAAAAGTATAAAATGTTTGATCAAACTGATATGTCGTGTTTAAATATGACATTACACGATATAAAACAGACCCCGTACGCTAATATTAACCCCAATGACCCTTGTACAAGCAGTGATTATAAAAACAAGGACATATTCGATTCTATATGCGTTGGAAATGACTATCGACCTGACAAAACATATTACGATAAAGACTTTACTAAGAATTTATACACATCTCTGTACGGTATGAGCGTTAGTGAACTTAGCCTGTGGTTTATAGACGGTTCGTATTTCAAGGATAAAAGGAACCGCGCAGCAGGACACCGCGGACACGAAGGCTAAAGAGCCACAGAGAAACGGAAGATCGCGCTTCAGTCTCTCACATAGTGGTTAGCTGCGCATGCGCGGCTACCCACAAAAAACTAAATATAACCTGATTTACTAATTGTTTGCTCCTTTTGCTAAACAAACAAGCCTATTTTATCATTGGATCGAGCCTTAAATTCATGAAATCGGACGGTTGGAAATATGTGATAATTTCAGACAATCCTGGCAAAAATTATCGTGAACAGCGAGTGCGTCAAACAAAAATAGATCTATTTCTACATAATTAATCCGCCAGAAAATTTCTCCCCATTCTACCCCGAATTCAATGTTGGTAAATGAAACTTTTAAAATTTGAATGCGAGAAACAACATTGAATAGGGGGCAGGGGGCGACAAATTTCATGAAAGAACGTGTCAATGTTAATATTAACCTTACAAAGGTTAGGTGTCCACATAATTTTTGCCAGGATTGTAGTTACCAGAATGAGTTAATTTCATTAATGGGGTTTATGGAGGCTGGGTACAATTTATATTGACTATGGAGGCTGGACTACAAATTAATCTATACTCTACATGGCTATAGTACAGCAGTAGGAGACTACGAAAGTCAATGTGCACGAGTGTTGATTTATATAATAAATTCATCGTGTAATTTGTGCAATGTTGCATGTAAGATCGAGCACTGCATTGTATACATTGGTACTTCGACATGTGCACGTGCATGGTTATACTCTAGCTCCTAGGTATAATTATAGTGGCTATCAAACGAAAAATTTACGTGAGGTTACGAGCGATTTGCAACTCTCATCTACTTGACAAATAGAAAACGAGTCGCGTGCGTTTATGGTGTGATAATGCACGCGGGGAATATTGGGAGAGTACGAGAGAAGCGTGTAAAACACACTTCTCGTAGCCGAGTGTTTTACACGCTTTTCGAGTACTCTCCCAACATTCCCCAAGTGCATTATCGCACTATAAACACAAGACACGAGTTTTTCTATTTCTTTTATAATATAACTAGACGATATTACATAGTAAACAATCTTACTCAAAAGATCGACGCTGAAGTTCTCCTAACATGTACTCAGTGACGTCACGCGCATGCTTTTACTTTTGCTTGAATTTTTAAATGAGCGAAGGAGCAAAAATACAAACTTTTGATGCTATAAAGCCGGAAAATTTGTTTAACATAGTGGAAATAAAAAAGTAGTGATACACAAACTAATTTGCCTAAGTTTTTCAGCATCTGGGCTGCTGGATATGCCACGAAAGACGGTAAATCGTAGGTTTCATCGCGTTTATACTCAGTTTTAATTTTCGAAATTATTGCATTTTTTGTCTTTCGCCGAAAATATATCTAGCAGTTATTACTAGAAGAAATGAAGATACATCCTAAATCACTTATATTCAGTTTTTGTTGCCTTTTTGTATGCATTTGGTCTTCTAGCTGCATCTTGTTCAAGCTTTTTCCCCGACTATTTTGTATGCTTTTACCCAAAACTTGTCGAGAAAAGCAACAAATTCGACGATTACCAAGCCGGTTAATTCTTCACGTAGAACAATAAAAAATTGCTTTGTTCTTTTGATCTATTCCTTCTTTCTTTCTGGTAAATATTACTTTAAAAGCTCTATAGTTTTGTTTATATTTTTGGCTAAAAAGCAGATATGAAGTGGGGGAAAACAGAGAAAGAGCAAAGCAGTGCCACAGATCACAGTTCATTATTGCGTCACAATGTACGCGCATTAGCCAATCAAATTGTCTGTCATATCACACTTATATTATAATAAATTTTCCAGACCTGTATATACAATAAACAGTAAAACAATGATTACATCGTACACACCATACAATAGATCTTTTGTTGTTGTTTGTTTGCAGAACCTAAAACTACGATGTAGTGCCTCATTAGTTTAGATTATTACGTTTTTTATTATATACATGACAAAATTATTGCAATCTGATTTGTTAAAATGAGTGCAATGATTTTATTAATTGCACTCTCCAGGAGTGCAATTAATGATTTTCGCGATGGCTGGGGAGAGCGGGAAATCAAAACAACAAAATTCAACATGGCGGCGAAATTTAAATAAGTATTTCTATAACAAATGTGGACAATTTAACTGAATTATGGCACAAGAATGAGTTTAATAAAAAATATATGGCAAAAAGAGCCTGTGGAAAATACCTGGAAACAGTCTTAAGAAATAATCTTGGGGGGGATGAAGCGAAACGTGACTATGTAAGTTTGAAAGCCAATTTAGAAAGATTTTCTTAGTCTAAAATATGTTGTTTGAGTTTGAATCTTGTGTTCTAAGTTTAAGTTATGTGCCTTTATGAGTTTATATATAATCAATTCCCAAGTATGTTTATACCAAATTGCTTACAAAAGAATTAAAAACTGTTGACAAAATGCACTTGAAATATCAAGAAAGCGATTTTGTCATGCATATAATAAATAAATAATCACACAGGGCAAGTCGTGCAATTAATGATTAACAGTACTCGTGATATTTGAAAAATGTGCCAAATTGAGCTTACCTCGGCGGCTCGTGCAATTTTGGCACATTTTTCAAATATCACTCGTAGTGTTAATCATTAATTGCACTCCTTCCCGTGTGATTACTTATACTAATTTTAAAATAATTTAGAATTCCTACCATTTATATACGTTATACTTCATGTAATTTAAACATTACGGCATCACGCCGACAGTTTCCGAATGCGTGAGATTTTATAAAACAATTGTAGCATGATGAAAGCACAAGATTGAAACAATGTACATAAAATGCAAGCTAAATAAAGAAGTTTTGACATGATACAAAACAAGACAATTTCACTTACAAGGGTGACAAGGTAATTTAGGATTATAGCTTATTCCGTTATACTGTATAAATACATTGTGTGTTTCTAGCCCCTACCCAGTGTTCCTTGTGGGGTTTTTTTTGAAATCAAATATCTATTTTATTTTGCAATTTTAAATCGACGTAAATTAACAATATTAAAGTTTAAGAAATGTGTAGTGCATGTCCCTTAAGTAGAGTATATTAACTGTTTACAATACTTGTGGTATATAATGTAGCCATGAATGAACCCCAATGGCTTCTAAATAGAGAATGGGTGAAAAGTCATGAATATTGAGCTTTATATGTGAATCAGGTTAAATACAATAATTAGTTAACCTAGCTTTATATAAAATGTGCATACATGTTCTAATAATTGTATTTTGCTTCATACAATGCATATGTGTGTAGAAACATTACATTATTCAGCTCACTCCCCACATTGGGGCTTTTCAGTGACCGATTACATCAAGTACTATGATTTCTTATGTTAGCCTAGACTTTCCTAACTGTGTTTATCTTAACCCACCATGCCAATTTTGCCCTGTGGGAGGAAATCAGAGCAAAATATAAAATTTAATTCCTTTGAAAATAATCCCTAAAATTGAATCGCCCTAAATCGCCTAGACTCGCATTAAATCGCAGTGCTTGAAAGTCCCAGTTTTTTCTTAAATCGCCTAAAATCGCCCACAATTGCATTACATCGCAGCGATTTAAGGCGATTTACCGCCCTAAGGTAGGCTTGCCGGACAGCATGTATTCCAGCCCCTAAATTCATCTCCATCATTTGAGCTGCCGTACTCTCAGCAGCTCGCACAATGTCTAGTGCTTTCTCTAAGGTAAGTTTATTGTCTCGAAGTAATCGTTCACGTACCACTGCATCCCTAATTCCAGTAACAAGTCGGTCTCGCAATATTTGATCTGGTGTAATCGACTCCAAATCACAGTTTGCAGAAATTCTACGCAACTCCATCATGTATTGGTCTACGGTTTCTGTGGGCCCTTGATCACGCGTAAACAGACGAAAACGTTCATATATCACATTCTGTCTCGGAATACAGTATTCCTCGAACTTCTTTACGACTAGATCAATTTTTATAAAATCGTCTTCTGACCCCCAAACAAATGTCTTAAATAGTTTCTTTGCTTCTTTTCCTATCACTGCTAGAAGTGTAGCTACTTGACGTATCTCGTCTTCTTTATCAAGCTTTGTTGCCAACGTGTAATTGCTCCAAGCGGACTTCCATTCGCGCCAGTTCGAAGCCGTTGAACCATCATTTAAATTAAGCACGTCCGGAGGAGGTATCTGAAAATACGTCGTTTGAGTTTTCGCTTGTTTCTTCGTCGTTTCAACGCTACCCTCCATCCACATTGACTAGTTTTACCCCTGACACCATGTTACTCTTTTAATAGACGGTTAATGTTTTAAACAGTGAAATATACACAAAAAGCTGATAATGTAAAGTTACTAGAAAATACATGCATGCAGAATCCCTCGCCTTACTGACAAAACATAATGTCTTCTGAATATGAAGAATTGAAAGTAGTTGTCATGGTAACACGATAATTTTAAGAATAGAGCCAACGGCGGGAAGCGCCGTGCGACGGTATTAATTCTGCCCGGCTATTTACACACGGGGAAAGGAACGCACTAGCGGATTCTAAAGCTCTTCAGATATCGTGGGCGCATGGCTCACCGTTCATGGGTGGTTATCCTCACTGATCACAAAATATGTAACGGACTGACGTGAAAAGTGAACACTGATTGGCCAAATTTGAAATTGGCATTATAACAACTGCATTGACGACAGCGAAATAACGAACATTTCTTGCAAGTTGTACTTTTGCAAGATTTTGTAAATTTCAAAACCTAGTGAAAGCCAACAAACATCTAAAAACGTCTAAAAAAATATAACAAATTCGCTGACGTTAAATTAATGAAGGTAAGTTTCTTTTAAATATTGATGTATTGTTTGTTTTATAATTGATATATTTATAACTGATAATGGTGGGCGATACTGCGAATATTGAACTCAGTCTGATAGTTAATAACGATACTATCATTGCGTACATAAGTGAAAAAAGACATACCACCTACAGCATATAATTTCAGTGTAGTTTTATTAATTACCCTTTCTTTTGTATATTAAAGTATTAAAATAAAGAGGAAAGCAAAGTTATTTTCATGCGAGAATTTGAAATCAGTTGTATATTCCAAAATTCAATGTTTACCGATAATTCGATAAAAGGCCGATTAGTTTTAAGAACATATTAAAACGTTTTGCGAAGCGTTTCTGGTTGAATTTTACATGAAATTGAAGCTTATGTTACGTATAATAACATACCTAGCATGTATACGTTTGGGAAATTGATCAGAATTTTCTTATTAAAAGCAATATTTTGGGGGATTTCTCAATTTTCTCCGATCCGACGGCGCGAAGCGCCGTGCGAGGGTACTAATTCCCCCCGGCTATTTACACCCGGGGAAACGAAAGCATTAGCGAAGTCTAAAGTTCATCAAATATCGCGGGCGTGACCAACGAACTTCAGTGAGTGGTCATCACTGAGCTATACTATATTACTGGAGGACGTGCTCGGCATCACAAAGTGTCCGCAAAAACAAGGCGGATTTCGGCCTTTGCTGACGCCAGAATGACGCCATATGGTTCCTCCGGCTCATGGTAATTACCACTGACCAGGCTCAATTTTGAGCCTGCTACGACTTTCACACCCCCCTGGTTCTTATTAAAATATTTTTGCTTGTTGAAGTATTTGCAGTATATTCTCGTAGTTTTTGATTTTTTCATATTTTTTGTACCTTTGACCACTGGTTCAAATGTGTGCAAGTCGTACACATTATATTCTCGTCCTCAAAAGACAGAAAACCTCGAAATACATCCGCAAAGACGATATTTGAAGCCGCAACTACAGGTAAAATATTTCTCAGTTCATAACTTCACACACTGAGTCACTCGAGCAAATTTTCTACAAAAATTGTTGGGTTTAACTGTGGTACAATGTATTATATTTTAGCCACAAGTATGTAAAGGTCTCTAAAGCCTTGTAGTACAAAGTAATCAACTTTCGTTTCATTTAAATCGTGAGCAAAATGGTATTTTGATCTATTGTTTATTTGTTTACATGCTCTATTTGTTGCATATTTTATGATGTTTTGAAGCCTGCAGTTTGTATTTCATGATACTATTTTGAAAATTTATAATTTTCTGTAGGTGGCACGAAACTGTGCATTTTACAAATATCAAATTATCTTAATTTGACCCTGGGGACTGATTTTATAATGACATGAAAGTACAGTATAATGTGCTACCAGCTAGTACTTACCACTATATTTTGAGGGAATAACAAAGAGAATTTATAGTATTTTATATTTTGTACTAACTTTATATGCAAAAGCTAGAGGTACTCAAGGAAGCTCATTCTGCTGTCAGAGTACCTTAAGGAGTTTTGAATCACTATGATTGTAGTTCTTGGGTGGGGGTTCTAGTTCGTGCAGGAGCCAGGATGATGCAACCAGCTAAGACTAAGACAAATAAACCTCGACATTTCAGCTAAAGAGTTTGGGGCCTTTATATTTGTTCATATTTTTTTAGCCTTTGGTGTACATACACATAGGATTATGGTAGAATAAATATAATTCTGAAAAAACAATGTATTTTTAAGGGGTCACTCAACTTGCCAACAAAGTTCGAGCATCGTCTGAAAACCTAGTATATTTCTTTTGTATTCCTCATTTTCCCTTGATATGATTTTTCATGCTTTTTCTCTTTTAGAGTAACCTATATAATCTATTCTTGTTTATTGCAGAATTATTTACCACCACAATGATGCAGTTGAAATTGTATTATTTTAATTTAGTTTAAATTCCTCAATGAATAATTATTAACTACCAATCACCAATGAGTCATTCCAGAAAAGATAAACACTAACTCCACAGATGTCTGAAGTGCTGTCTGAAGTGGGCAGAACTCAACTGCTGATAATCAGGGGTGCACATTAGGGGGGGGGGGGTGACACCCCCCCATGTTTTGTGAAATATATCTAAAAAGTCGGTCCCAAAACCTGAATGGGACGAAAAAGTCGGTCCAGCTAAAATCTGAAAGATATTATCATTTTGTGTCCCAAGTACTGTAGTATACCCAAGTACTGTAGGTTGACAGTTTTACATGTTACTTAATATGTAATCCTTTTTATTTTATTTTAGGAATTATGGCTGTCACATTAACCGGTAATGGCACAATCCTTTGATGCTTGTGAAATACAGCGACATATTAATAATAGAAAGAGAGGCTCACTGATCAGAATTATTTATTGCGACAGGTTTTTGGCCACTAAACTGTGGTCAGACTTTGACAGGTACAAAACTAATAAAAATGCAAGCTTACAATTGTTATGTCACATCGCAAGTCTAGTATATTTTAATTAATAAACAATTATGGTCAATGAGCATCTCATATTTTTCTTTACCTAACTGTGATTCAGAGACAAGTTTTTACATTATACATACAAATACAATTATATGATTCATTTTTTTACTTGCTAATAAGAACATGGAAGGGATGTGACAAAACTATGATCATTTTATTCAGGACAAATACCAACAATCATATTAAGCAATTTCTTGCCAATCATTGATCGGCTGTTATTTCAAGCACTGGGGTTTGTTGTATAATATTGTATATCTTATTACACCTGCACATTTCATTGAAGTTGAACAGGGTGGGTAATTTAATTAGCACTCACCAATTTTTTACCCCCATTTTGATCAAATCTAAGGGGGTTGGGTGTGCTTGTGTTTGACTGATGCACCAAGAAACTTGTGTGAATTTTGATGTTATTTAATTATACATGTAATACTATGTAAATTTATTAAATTATTATACAGTAGAACCATATTAAATCAGATAAAAAGTATTAAAATTTTACAAATATTACAGTCATGCCAACAGAAGCGTTCCGAAAAATGTTGACCAGTTCATTTCCTAACTTCGAGGAGTTCCTCTTAACAATTCCTCTATAATTTGATAAGTTCCTGTTTCATTGACCAATCAAATTTTATATTTTATTTCTGAGCAATCTGATTGGTCAATGAAACAGGAAGTTAGAAACTTTTTAAGAAACTTATCAAATTGTTGAGGAATTGTTCAGAGGAACTGGTCGAATTTTTCGGAATGCTTCTATTGGCACGACTGTAAATGTACAAGAAATATACAAAATATATAATTATTACTTAATATATATATTTTTTAGTTATTTACTTTAAATGTACAAGACGTGCAGTGGAAAACCACACCATGCCCGTTTTTCTTTTCTTTGCGGGGACACTTTGTTCGAATGTGCCCCCTCTCTCCGCATGTCCAACAAACCACTCCTATATGTTGAAATATATAATTTAGTTTTGTAATGTTGCTACTGAGAACATATTTTCCAACAACATATGGTCTTTTCAGAAAGGAGGAGATTAGGGGAATTTACTTCTGATAAATAAATGCTAATATGCACCAGGATGTTTGAAGGTTACTGGTGCCTATTTCCTACATAGGAACAGTGTAGATGTTTTCTGGCTAACAAGTAGGTTAGGATTAGGGTATGGATAAGCCAGATTGTATTTAATTCCAAGATGTTAAATCTACGTAAATATTGACCATTGTTGGTAATTAAAGTACATACTTGAAGTGCAGTCTTTCGCATGATGGCCTCTTAAGCCACATTTGTAACAATACCCTAAATATTAAAAAATAATGGTTAGCGCTGCCCATAGGCATACGGGACGGGTGGCAGGGGGGCAGCTGCCCCCCAAAAAGATTACAAAGTCGAAAAGTCGGGCAAATGTTCAACAAAAGTCGGGCAAAATTAGTCAAAGCAATAAAATCTCTCTTAATAATAACTCCAGTTTGTTGGGCAAACAAAGCCAGTTGGGGAATATTCGCTTCACAGTCGGGCAATATTGGGTTATTATAAACATAAATGGGACAAATTCTGTCAATTTTGCGGGAAATTATGTTAATTTTGTGATGTTTGGGAAAATTTGTTTGATGTTCCGAAAAATTTTGGTATGTCCGAAAAAATTTTGGACCCCTAAAATTGTACACTGACCGAAATTTTTTTGGCAACGGGGGGGGGGGGGTCACCAAAATTATTTGCTGCGGAAAAAAAATTTTTCAGCACTGGTCGGGCACAATCAGAAAAAGTCGGGCAAATTTCTTTCCCGCCCTCCCTAATTTTTTCCTTCCTGTACACCCATTGTGCTGCCCCTGAATAAAATGTCCTACTCTTTTGAGAACCATTAGATTAAATATAGTCTGAAATTGATATTTTCCCAATAATTCATTGGGGCAATAGGATTCAAAACTCTAGTATCTCATCTGAGAAACCAATATTCCCAGTGAATATTCCACTTCTGGATACTGATTATAGTGTTATATATTACAATTCTAACACCAATTTTATATCCTGTAATTATATATTGAAATCATTAACTCACTGAGCGGTAGCACTCTCCCCTGAACAAGAAAAACTTCCAGCATTGGACGGTTAAAGGTTATACTGTAATTAGCTAGCATGGAAAAAACTTGTGCAATTAATTATAATACCTTTTTTTCGCCTAATTGGACCAGCAGTACTGTATCTATACAAGAAAGTAAGAAAGGTAACACACATATAGCCTGTTTGCAGTATGCGTTGCAAACAAATAATTATGGTAAACATTGGGCTGATAATTAAGTTTTGTTACATGTAAGAGAAATAAATACTATAGTAATATTGGAAGTCAATTAGTATACTTAAATTTGCCTGTGTCACAGTTATATTGTTTCACAATAACAATGATTTTAACTGCACACAAGCAACTGAGCATGGAGTAACAAAAACAGATACAACATAGTTAAAAACTATACCTCTGTTATTATCTTCTTTAGTATTGTTATCTGATAAAATGAAATGAGGAACTCTTATTTTCATAAATAAAAGGTAAATTTAATTGGCCTGTGTGCAAATTAGCAAGAACACAGAGTAACTAAAACAGTTAGATACAACATAAACATACAGCATTACAGCTATATTAAAAACTATACCTCTGTCATTATCTTCTTTATTATTGTTCTCGACTAATAAAATAAAATTATGAAAGCAATGAAGTAAACAATGGGTTCTCAATGGACTATTTCACAAAGTCTACACATCCCACCATACAGTACTGTAGATCGCAGATGTTAATTCGAAAACCAACTGTTTCGATCATCCAATTTCATATCAAATTACATACATCAACTTACTGTCATTTTCAGATTCCTTAGTCGGAACCACAGGTGGATCTTCATTCACTGCTATTTCCATGGACTCTAATTAAATTTAATGTATAAAGTATTACGTTCTTAAATTAAATTAACATAACTGATGGTTTCATAAAATCCTAAAGGGACAGACAATTAGTCTTAAGGGGTACATAGAGAAGGGCAAATTTAGGGACCTTTTCACAAGAGTGCATAAAAGTTTGAGGATTGCCCTAAAAGTTCATGAGGGTGAAAGTCAATTTTTGTAAAGGAGCATATGATCTGAAAAGATTATTTGACAAAGCGAAATCTATAGGACTTAAGGGACCGTTCATTATTTATACCTGGGGTTGGTACCGAAGAGAAGCGAAAAACGCTGTAATTTTTTTATTTACCCAACCTCAACATTGGTCAAAATAATGTTTACCCAACCCATGTGTTACTGTACTTAATAATTAAACACACAAGATTATATGGTGACAGAAATCAAGTTGCCTAAATTTTAAAAGCTCACTCAGACTCAAACTCACTGAGTGTGCCAATGGAACCACGTTCCTGCTGATCAATTAATAATAGAGTCCTTCCTCAATCACTGATAGTCTACTTTGGTACAGAATGTATTGTGCACATTTTTCTTCATATTTTCCAATGCATGGTAATTTCGGTTTTATTTTATAGCTGACAGACAGCCACAAAGTTTTTTTACCCAACCCATGAGCTAGTCAAAAACTTGATTACCCAACCCATATCTCTTCGGTACCAACCCCGGGTGTAAATAATGAACGGTCCCTAAACTCATGTGCCCCAGGCACTCTACGTGTTTCTGGGCAGTCCTGTGTAATAATACCAGTGGCATAACTACTATGGGTTCAGACCGGGTGAACCTGGGGGCCTCCAACCCCAATGGGTCAAATGGGGGCTCAGGCTGCTGAGTAAAAACATCGGCCAGGGAGGTCCCTGATGTTACAAAGTCGTTTTCTGACCATCATAGCAGATCGTATCAATTGCTGAATACTCACATGATCAGAGAAACCTACTACAATTTACTACATATAAATTTAATCGAATGCATTATACATAAGCCTTATTGACCGATTCGAGAACTGGTTATCACAATTTTTCAACGAAGACTGTTATCACAATTTTTCAACGAAGACTATTTTTGCAAAATGTAAGAGTTTAACTTTAAGATTGAAAACTGTCCAGACCATGCAAATTGAATTTTCTGCAAGAACCAAAACGAGGCTAGTCGTGCTTGTTTGCTATGTGGAGCATGAACTTCTATATTTCCATATTTAATTTCCCCAATAGAAAACAAGGTATTATATTATACAGTTTTTTAAAGCTGTTAGTTTTGCAGTATCCTACAGTATAAGGTGGCAGTAAATATAGTGGTGTGGTGATTAAAATTAATTTCGGAAGAAAAAAGAATGACAACCATTTTTCGAATCGGTCTACAACCAAATTTAAAATATGTAAAACTCATACAAAATTACTATTATAATTAGTATTTACATGCACAGATGTTTTTTATATAAATTCTACAATCAAATCCAAATAATGTACAGGCATCTGTTCGTGCAGGAAGATTTTACTGTCACGGTCAAAAAAGCCAGACCATTCTTGGTTTCTGTGACACCTATAGGTGAATGGAAGTAATGAAACACAGATCTTGGTTGTGTAAGTTAAAGCTGGATCCTTCATCACGATACTATTCTTGAACTCGTTGGTGGCAGTCAATGGAAGTAATTGAGGCCAAAACGTTCATAACAGTTCCATGGTGGATCACGATAATGTTATTGGACCCATTGGTGGCAGTCAATGGAAGTAATGGAACACACGTAACAATGTTTCATACTGGATCATGGTAATGCGGTAGTGGACAATATGGTAACGTAAACATAATCTTTCTCGAACGTTCTTCTGTGAGCTTTATATCTCAATCGTATTCATATTATACTGAGGTAATAGTATAGTATTTCGTTTATGGTTCATTCATTGACATTCAAATTTAAATCTTTTTTATATCTGCAGTACATGCAGGTAACGAAACTGTTCTCTTGCAACATGATATCTCTATGATATTCTATTCCAGTCTTTTGCATGTTTTGTCGTTGTAGCAAAATCTTTAGTGACCATTTTTTCTTTATCATCGACAAACATTTAGTATAGGATAACTATCTGTCAGTAGAATCTTTGCTTTTTTTCGTTGTTCTGTGGTGAGTCCATGTGACTTTGTTCAGTTGACGCATAAGTGTCACGAAAGTTAGAATGCCTGGCTTGTTTAAAATGTTACTATATGGTATTAAAATTATTTTACAGTTTTTATGCAATAAATATATTTCACTGTAACTTCCCATCGAAACGTCATAGTTCTGTTTGTATTATTATTATTATAACTATAGAAGTAATAGCATTGGCATTAGGGTGATTAGTGATTAAATGTACCCGAAAGCTGAGGGCGGTTTAGTAAAAGCCTTACTAAATCTCTCAAGTTTTGAGGAGTTGAGGGACATTTCATCAATAATCGTCCCAATATGCTATGCTATTACTTTATAATATCATAGCTACCGAGACAGTAAAACGGTTTCATTCGATTAAAGTGTACCTAAAAATAGAAAAAGAATATTTTGGGAAAATATAATGACAAAAAAACTGAATGTTGCATGGAAAGAAAATGGAACGAATTGCTTACCTATTTAATAACAACCAGGCAACAATAACTTAGAAACAAAGGTATTCAATCACAAATCATAATTTGTCAATCCTCGAACACATGTGAAATGTGCAGGTTCATTGACAATATACAAACATGCACTAAATGCATTTCCTCATTCCGTCAATCCTCGAACACATAAAATGTGCAGGTTCATTGACAATATCCACTAAATGCATTTATTCAGTCAATCCTCGAACACATGAAATGTGCAGGTTCATTGACAATATATACAAATATGCACTAAATGCACGTCTTCATTCCGTCAATCCTCGAACACATGTGAAATGTGCAGGTTCATTGACAATACATTACTGATGCTTGAACAACACAAGCTTCGAAAACTGTTTACGTATTACCTTGTCATGCATTCTCGCATTTGTCAACTTGCTTAAATGGTGCATGCGAATGGTCACATAACTCTGAGAACAGCATTTAATCAAACTTAGCGTGTGGTTGTTCCCTGGAGCCGAATCAAACATGTGTTCATCTAACGTACTAAAGACCCCTTTTTCAACACAGACTGACAGCACCGTCGAAGCGATCGCATTTGAAAGTCCAGTGCTATGAGGTAGACCACCTCCATTTGCATTTAGCATTCTCATTATACACTTTTCCGTTTCCTCGCATATTTTGATCAGTCCGAGGGACGGCAATCTAAGACCTCCATTCGTCTTCCATGTTACAAACAAGTCTGGAATGTTTTCCTTGTTTGTTGTCAAAGCTGCTATACATTGCGGACAGTGGATTTTTTTCTCGACCATTCTCACCACATACCCAGCAATATATGATATGGCCGCCTCTTTGTATTCAGATAGTTCCATAGCGTTCGAAACATCACAGTAGTCGTGATCATCTGCAGCTGGCGGTCTCAACGTCAAGTCATATCTCCTTGCAATTGCCACATCAGAAACTCCAGTAGGTAAGGAGTTGATTTCATGCTGATCCTGGACACTGTTCAATATCTCTGTATCATCTTGAGGAGTGCAGTTTCCACGTCCTCCCTCGATGTTGTGTCTCATCATCAGTTGCTTGTATGCTGCTATAAATTGGCGAGTTGTTGGATTATTATTCCACCCTCCGCAAGCTCGCACAGCGGAAAAGAATAATTCCAAGTGATCTTGGCTCATCTTGTACGTCAGAAGATACTTCAGGACAGGATTCTGAGCATTAACGAGATCTTCTGTTAATCCCACAACAGCATTGATGCACAACAGGAAACCAAGAAATCCTGTTTTCCTTTTTGACGCGAGGATCGACTGACCGTCTGAAGTTTTCAGGTTTCTAATGTACTCAGTTGCCTCATCAAGAAAGCTCTTCGTATACTGGTAGTTCGATTTTCTAATGGGCGCTTTGAAATTTCTAGCCAGCGGATTCCTGGAATTCAAAACATCAAAAAGACGATCAAAAACACGGATAAACTTTACTGTTGGACCACACCCTTGAAATTGTGGCAGTTTCAGCTTACCTTCACAATACTCTAAAGCATCTGCAACACTCGAACTGAGCGCCTGCGCTGCCAGGTTTACCTTCATTTTCTGTGGCTTCCATTTGATATGAGCCGATCGAAGCTTATTTGCAAGATGTAAACCTTCTGACTCTTGTAATTCCTGCAATTGCACCAAGAATTGCCAACGAATTACCTTACCGTCCTTATCCTTCAGAATTCCCCAGTCCGACATCGTATTTCTCACCAATTTTATCATATGACAAGCATCTAGGAGGATATAGATCTTAGCCTTGGGGTCACATGGATGTTGAAAGAAGGCTTGCAAACTATCCGGTGACAGTTGAGCGCCGAGCAATTTCAACATTGCCTGGTGAGACGTGGGGCCGTCGCATGTAAGAGATACCACCTTCACCCCAACTTCGTGCAACTTGGTTATGCATTCTTTGGTCAAGTTTGCTTTCTGCTCTCCGGTAAGACCATTTACTAGAAAATATCCACACGGTACTTTCCAACCAGAGTTCACTGACACTGCCATGAAAACAAGAGCATCTGTTGCTTCAGGCAACGAGTCGTCATTGATGCCTGTACCAAGGTCAACATAACCACGGAACTGCTTACCATCCCACTCGACATGCTTGCGTATAGACATCTCATCGAGCATCAGTGCGCAAACAACTTCTTGACGATTTTCTTTCGCAGCCAAAACTTTAACTTTCAACGCTGCCAGTGCGTTCTTTGTGAAACCTGGCTCACCATTCATAGAACTATACCATGATCGAATCACAGACACATGTGGAAGCCCTAAATCAAAACTTTTTCGAACATAGTTATACGCTTTCGTTGAATAGAATTTTAGGGTCATGGCGAATGATCTTAGCTCGGGTGGATACGCCCCAGGATTTTTCTTTACCTTTTGTGTAACTAACCTTTTCATGAGCTCCCTAGAAACTCCAGAAAAAGTCGTTTCTAAAATAGTTGCGCAATCATTATTGATAAGATTTTGCTCTTTCAATTCACTTACCACCGTGGTCAAAGTGCTAACCTTTCCCCTGTACCTCCTTAGTTTCTTTTGTGACGATTCCAATCTCTTCTTAAGAATTGTAGCTTTATCTACAACATCATCAAGACGTCTTTTCATTCTACGAGGAGATTTTATACAGTACGTGTGATCTGCACGCACAGCTTTATCACAAGAACTAGTCGTACGTGCTCTTTTCTGAGACAAGCTTACCTCATTTGAAACGCAGTTTGAATCAAACACTATCTCGTCGGAGTGCTTTCTCTTTCTGCCTGGTATACTTACATTGTCTTCACTAATTACTTCTTCCGACACTTCTTGTATACTCACACTATCCATAGTAGTTATCTCAGAGTCATTGATAACCTGCAAATTTAATACTTCATCCTTTTCTAAAGCTAAAGTAACACCATTTACATCATCTGCCATACCTTTCAACTCTTCTACAGCGTCTGCTTGGGAATTCTTTATTACCTGAAGAAGGAAAAGCAATGAATAGTAATTGTATCTCGGTTTCTAAGCCGCCAATGTACTAAACGAGAAATTGAGTCAATGGAAATATTTCTTGTAATTAAACTGGGGAATATTTCTTGCGACTAAACTGGATAATATTCACAACAAATCCCCACCGCAGCTCAATTAGTAGCACTGTTCAGAAAAAAACAACAAATATTTAGTTTAAAACAATAGAAGGAATTTTATACACAAACAATTTTAAGGTGCATGTTAATATCAATGTTGTGAAGTGGTCAAGTAGATTATTATTGTTGGCCATTAAACTGAATTGATATTTGCTCTTTTACTGTAGTGTACTCAGGTGAATAAGATGCTTGTGATGTTACTCTGAGTGTATATCCACACCGGGCAGGCTTGAAAAATATGCCTGGCCACGGTGGGAATCGAACCTACGACCTTTGGAATACTAGCCCAATGCTCTGCCAACTGAGCTACGCGGTCAGGTCGGTTCGAGCTTGTAATATTTCGGAACTGAGTCTAGTTCCTTCGATATCAATATAATCTAAGAATCATGATAAAACAGCAAATATCATGATTATTAGATTATACTCAGTCGATATCGAAGGAACTAGACTCGGTTTCGAAATACAGTCGAACCCCTCTATAAGCGGACACCTCTCTTAAGCGGACACATATCTCAGGTCCCATTCGTTTTCTTTAATAAAATACTGTTATCATAACCCCTATTACCTTACTTGAGGTCCCAATGGGCAAACCAACCTCTCTTAAGCGGACAGATGACAGATTGTCTTATAAAATGTATTCAATATTCGACAGTAAATAAAAATTGAGATCAATTTACATGGCACATTGACAGTGACACACCAACTTCGCGCGAAGACATCAGAGCCAAGATTATTGAGGAAGTGACGAGCGAGGACGGAGGACTGTGAACCGCCAGCCGAGGAGCCGAAAGATATGTGTCCGATCACTCATGATGACAACGAACTGAACGAAGATGATGAATTTGACTGGTCTCTTAACGAACCAGTCATTATATCTTCCTCCGGAGCCCTTAAAGTTTTCGAGCGGCTGGCAGAATTCGCAAAAATTCGAAGTTTGGAAGAACTTTCCAACGTCATTTTTATGTAAATGACAATATAATGGGCTATCGTCTGCGTGAGCTTTGAAAGCAAACTTGTATCGATTCCTTTTTTATATGACTGTGAGAGACGTATACATTTTCTAATAAATTTTTATGCACAAAGAAATTCTCATTTTATGCTAATTATTTCCTAGATATTTTTTACTGTTTTGATACTCAAATTACACACCTATAATTACACATCTTTGCCTCCTGCTGTGTTTTTCTACATATCCCTTTTAAGCGGACACTTAGACGAGATCCTGAAGGTGTCCACTTAATAGGGGTTTGGCTGTATTACATGCTCGAACCGACCTGACCGCGTAGCTCAGTTGGCAGAGCATTGGGCTAGTATTCCAAAGGTCGTAGGTTCGATTCCCACCGTGGCCAAGCATATTTTTCAAGCCTGCCCGGTGTGGATATACACTCAGAGTAACATCGGCAAGCATCTTAAACTGAATTGTTACTTTTTATGAAATTACACTAAATAAGGCCCAAATTTACATGTACACTCCGGCAAAAATGGTAGCTAGATATCAAAACAGGAATACCACTATTTTAATTTCATAGTAAGTTTAATAGGGAAATAGTTTTATTAAATTAATGTTGCCAGATTATTTCACTCTGTCTCAGATGCCAGACAATTTTACTTCTCAAGGGGAGAGAGCTGAGGCACTATTGGGTAAAACTGTATTAATTACAGGCCAATTATTTAACAATTATTCGCCGAAGGCGAGGTGATTATCGGCGAATAAAAACCGAGACGAAGTCGAGGTTTTTATTCACGATAATCACCGAGCCTGAGGTGAATAATTGTGTTAGTATAATTTCATAGGTGATTATTTGGAAAAAAAAATTAAAAATGCACATTTCTTCGTCTTTTAATTGACAAAACGGCTTCGCCCACCATTTTGAAAATCGCCTAGGTGATTATCGCGTAATAATCACCTCAACGGTAACCAATCAGCATGGAGAATTTTCAATAATCACCTATGTAATTATACTAATATACAGTTAATCAAACTACTCACAGTACAGTACCTCATATCCTGACCTAGTTCAGAGGCTGTTATTGACACAGCTGGAATAAAGCTAGACCTTGTCTGAATGTTAAAAAAGACATTGAAAAACTACTTTAAAAATAACACAAACATGCAGTTAACCCATGACAAGTAAAATCATCTGGCGTTGATCATTAGAAGAAAAAAATAAGTATGTCGCACTGGGGCTCGATCAAAGGCTTAATTAAACTAATTTACAAATCGTAATTAAATATGCTCATTCTGAATTGGCTAATTTGGCTTTAAACTCCAGTTGGGCGGTTCAAGTCTTCAAAAAAGGAGGTGGACACAAACCTCAGAATTCTGAAATATTGTCGGAACAGCATCTGGCATCAGCATCATTCTTTGCCCAACCTGTTGCATCACATCTGCACTGAAGTGCTCTGAACATAGACGGCTACCTTTCTTGGGAACAAACCCCACTGGTGCATTCTTCTTCACAATTTCAAGCCATCTGGAATGCAACTCGGCATTTTTTTGGGCATCTGGGAAGCTGTAATGTAAATATACCAAATGTACAGAAATATGAAATAAATTCTAATCTATTACATTATTCCTATACATAAAATATTATATACATGGTCTAGCTAGGACTTAATTTTGGGCTCACTTTCAAGGTTGACCACTGTAAAAATTTGGAAGTACCGACTTTAATTCCCTTCAACTACATTCCCAATACAGACATTCCCAACTACTGGAGGTAAAATTTTGGGAGACTGTTCAGTGAATTGAAATCTAGTTAGTTCTTCTGGGAAAAAATAATAAAAATTAAGTCTTCTGAAATGGCGTTTCCTGCATATTTGGACTATGTTGTTATAAATGATCCTGCGCATGAATTTTTGGGAGACTCCCGGTAAAATCGGCAGAGTTGGAATGTCTGCATACACCCGCAATGTCACCACATTTATTTTAGAGATTTATTTTATTATTTTAATTAGATATTTATTAATTTTTGCCCACAAAATATTTACAAGCAGTAAAAAATAATTACAGTAGTATAGTGGGCTATTAGAACCTTTGGAAATCCCAGGGCCTTCCTCCAGGGCCTTTTTTAACATACAAGCTGGGGGTGGGGGGCATTTGCCCCCCAGTCCCCCCTTGTGCCCCCCCCCCCACGAAATCACATTTTGCCCCCCCCCCCAGGAAAAGTCCCTTTTTTCTAAATGTATACCAACAAAACAGTGAAGAATAACAAATAAATAAACGGAAAGTAAGTTTTAGGCTAATATCCTTTGTCCTTGTTTAACAAAATCGATCTAAATTGTTACGTTTTTCTACCACTAAGTAATGATAAATTATTGTTAATAATTTTTTATTTTTTGGTTGCTCAGAATGCAAGAAAGAGCATTTCCAGGTTTCAAATTTCAAAAATTTTCTGGAGATTTTGCCCCCACACACGTGGCCTTCGGCCATTGGTATCCCCCTCTAATAAGTATAATGATAAGTTACGGTTAATATTCTTTTTTACTTTTTGTGCATTTTTTCCTTCTTTTATTTCAAATACAAGTATAGTTAGCATAAATTTTAGAGCAAATTTGGATGCTCAGAATGCAGGAAATGGCATTTCCGTGTTTCAAATTTCAAAAATTTTCTGGGGGAGTACACCCCCACACATGTGACCATTGGGATCCTCCTCTAATAAGTAATGATAAATTATGGTTAATATTTTTTTTAACTTTCTGTGTTTTTTTTTCCTTCTTTTATTTCAAATACAAGTACAGTTAGTATACATTTTGGAGCGCATTTGGATGCTCAGAATGCAGGAAATGGCATTTCTGTGCTTCAAATTTCAAAAATTTTCTGGGGGAGTACACCCTCCTCATTCATGCGTGCATGGTATGTTCGGCGCACACGTGGCCTTCAGCCATTGCTATCTCCATGTAATATATTATCTCACAGAAAGGTCCCTTTTCAAAAAATGCCCCCCCACGGGAAAATCCTTAAAAAAGGCCCTGGTAGGAAGCTTCTAAAAGTTGGGAGGGAGGCATGCTTTGAGGGGCACCTTTCAAATAAAAAAGGGCATCTAAAAATTTTCCCCTATAAATGTTGGTGAGGGGGGAGGGGAGGTTATCTCAAAAAAATTTTCCAAGAAGAAATTATATACAAGCAGAAACTATTTACAACAAATTGAAAGATGAAAAAATACTAAGAAATAAAATAGCACATTTATTTACTAATACTATCGTTAGTGTTCCTATAAAGGCTAATGCTAAGGTTTTTATAATTTGTTTACATTTTAAATCAGATAATTAAGTAAAGGGATTTTGATCTTGAATATGTTTATACAACATGATACAACAGTAATATAACTGATAACAGTAATATAACTGATATTATTTATATAAAACATATGATTTTATATACATATTTTTAAAAAAATGGCAATAACATTTAACTGAAAAATATACAGTTTAGATTTACAGCAGCTGCGAAAATTTTCTGAATATAATGACATTGATATTGTTGGCATTCAGACGTATCTATTACCAAAAATTCGCCACATTTTGTCAAAGAAAACTACAACTATTCTGTGCTATGTTTTTGACTTGCAAGGCCCTTTTCAAAGTATTAAAAAAAGTAAAAAGAAAACTGTAAAATGAACCTTGGCCTTTCTGCAAGCCTTTCTGTTTGTATTTTTAAAATTAGTAAAAAACAACAAAAAGTGAACAGGAGTTTTACAAATTCTTACCGGTGAGAAGAAATATTCTTCTTTGATAAGGAATTATTACAACCATACGCGCAACAATGCGGCATTTTGAAGAATTTTGAAAAAAAAACCTTTGAAGATTTTTTAAATCTCGACTTGTTGAAAGTTAACAAGCAAGGCGGGAAAATTTATTGCAAACCAGGGGGGTGAAGGATTTTATTTCAAGCGTAGGATCGCGGTTGGTCAGTGGTAATTGCCATGAGCCGGAGGAACCATATGGCGTCAGCAAACGTGAAAATCCGCCATGTTTTTGCGGACACTTTTTTGACTGACGAGAGATAGGAGCACCTCCTCCAGTAATATTATAGCTCAGTGGTGACACATCTTTATAGTATCTAATCTTTGATCAAGTTCCCTTGAGCCTGCTCCATTGGGCCTGCACGCGGGCTAGGACTGTGGAAGAGTCAGACAGTCAGACACAATTACACAAAATTGACAAAAAGTCCAAAACATGATGCTGCGGACTAGGGTACCCCGTTGAGGTGGAACTACTGTTCTCGGTAGCCGGTTGTTGTAGGTGATCATTACCCCCTAATGTTGCAGGAGCCACTGCCTGGGGGCCCTGGTTTGTGACGTCATCAGCTATGTCGAGTTCACCTTCATCCCCAGTTACGGAAGTGGAAACCCCTTGATTATCTGTGACTTCGGTTTCTGCTTCACCCCCTGTGTTTGGGGCAGTTTTCTGTATGGGTGG